TCTGGTGATGTCTATGTGTTCCAGACTTCAGGCTGCAATTGACTGCAAAGGATTTGCAACCAAGTATTAAAAAGTGAAAGTTTGATTTAGGATTATTATTCTGTCCCATTACTTTTGGTCCCTTAACAAGTGGGAGGCACATATGCAAACTGTTGTAATTCCTATACCGTTCACCTGATTTGGATGTAAATACCATCAAATTAAAGCTGACAGTCTGCAGTTAAAGCTCATCTTGTTTGTTTCATTTCAAATCCATTGTGGTGGTGTATAGAGCCAAAAATGTTAGAATGGTGTCGATGTCCCAATATTTATGGACCTGACTGTATATAGCTTCCTGAAAACATCACAGAACCCTGCCTCAGGAGCCTACAATCCTGATGTAGGAAGTGGGAGGAGTTATGCAAATATAAAAATGCTCTGATGAGTGGTTGTCAGTCTGAGGCAGTGGGTGTTCCTAGGCAGGTTGTATTTACATAGGTAACACCCACATGTGATGCTGAGCCTCCACTGACAGAAGGGGCAGGCTAGGGACAATCAGGCTTGGGGAGGACAGGGCTAGATGATGCTGGATGTCCTCCAGCCAGGAAATAAGGTGGAGCTATCTGACTTGCTGCAGCTTCTGATGCATATTGTGAGAGGCTCACAGTATGCAGTGAAATCATAGTAGGTTCTTTCCAGGAGAGGAGCCGCTACAACTGTGCAAGGCTGAAGGGAAGGCTGGCGATTCAACTTTAACCTCTATTAATGCTTGCTCCTCCCAGATACAAGAGGAAAGGTCATTCCTGCTTGGGGATTGACCCTAAAAGACAGCATATTGTATGGGAGAATGCCCCTGAGAAGAAGCCATCCCACAAGAAACCAGAGCGATATTACAGCAGGAGCGCAGTACAGATGTTCCGGATCCGGGCAGAGCACGTGGCCTGTAGTAAGGAGACCACAGACGTGGCATCTTCCGGCTTCATTCTGGTGACGAACTATGACCCAGATACCTCCTCGGCCTCTGCCGCCCGCACCAGCTGGGTGAATCCGCTGGGCGTCTATGACGATTCCACCTCAATGTGGCTACAAGGCAAAGGAGGTCCAGAAGACAGGACTCCACCAGCTGCTCCTAGAGACACCGAACTGCTGGGGAAGGTGGAGGATTATAATCGGAGGATTCGCGAAAACCCCAGAGATGTCCAGACATGGATGGAGTTCGTCTCATTTCAGGTATTTACAACAACTATATACTGCCTTGTGAGCTGCAAATGAGGGAGACTGGGAGGGAGAGTCTGGGGGGTGAGAGTCTGGGGGGTGAGAGTCTGGTCTGGGGGGTGAGAGTCTGGGGGGGGTGAGAGTCTGGGGGGGGGGGGGTGAGAGTCTGACTGGGGGGGGTGAGAGTCTGGGGGGGGTGAGGGACTGGGGGGTGATGGGGACTGGGGGGTGAAGGACTGGGAGGGGAGAGACTAAGGAGCAGTGGAAGCAGAGGAACAGCGATCCACGAGAGGCGGCCTGGCGATGTAATTCTGCAAGCTCTGCCAGTGAGTGCTGGAATGAAGGAAGACGTGACAGGTTGGGGGCTGCTGGAGGTTGTCTGATTGCCCTACTGGAGGGTGTCTGATTGTCCAGAGGTAGGCTTCTGATTTTTGTGTTGCCCAGGGCAGCACAAAAATGAAATCCACCACCACTGCCTAGGACTAAACTAACTAGCACTAAACAAGGGGGGAGAGGAAAATACCAAAATCAGTTAACATGTTGTAGTGACCCAAAACTGTCACTAGATGTCAGCATACATATACCTACAATAACCTAACGCAGCTCAATAAAAATAGAGGAATTGCACGATCGTGCGTTTTGCATATACATCATAATGCTGTTATACAGTTGTGTTCAAAATAATATCAGTGTGTTGAAAAAAGTGACTAAAGCTGAAAATCCTTCTAATCCTTTTATTTCCATCCACACAAATGCATTGGGAACACGACACATTCTATTCCAAATCACAACATGAAGAAAAATACATCAAATTTGTGTTGTTCCTCTAAAACAATTGAAGAAAAGTGAATATTAGATGGTTCAAAAAAATGGCCGTGTTTGTATTCTTCTTTACAAACTCCAACATTCACTATATAAACTGAGAAATGTTTGAAGATTTTGCTTTCCTTTGAATGACTTCATGAATATTTGGTTGTAGTCGCACTGTTTCTGAGAACTGCTGTACATCTGTGTTGCATGGAGTCCCCCAACTTCTGGCCCCTGTGATCAGGTATTCCAGCCCAGGATGATTGGACCACATTCCACAGTTCTTCTCTGTTTCTTGGTTTGGCCTCAGAAACGGCATTTTTGATGTCACCCCACAAGTTTTCTATTGGATGAAGATCCGGGGATTGGGCTGGCCACTCCATAACGTCCATCTTGTTGGTCTGGAACCAAGATGTTGCACGTTTACTGGTGTGTTTGGGGTCGTTGTCTTGTTGGAACACCCATTTCAAGGGCATTTCCTCTTCAGCATAAGGCAGCATGACCTCTTCAAGTATTCTGATGGATTCAAACTGATCCATGATCCCTGGTATGCGATAAATAGGCCCAACACCGTAGTATGAGAAACATCCCCATATCATGATGCTTGCACCACCATGCTTCACAGTCTTCACAGTGTACTGTGGCTTGAATTCAGTGTTTGGGGGTCGTCTGACAAACTGTCTCCGCCCACTAGACCCAAAAAGAACAATCTTACTTTCATCAGTCCACAAAATGTTGCGCCATTTCTCTTTAGGCCAGTCAATGTGCTCTTTGGCAGATTGTAACCTCTTCAGCACACGTCTTTTTCCCAACAGTGGGACTTTGCGGGGGCTTCTTGCAGATAGCTTGGCTTCACATCGGCGTCTTCTAATTGTAACAGTCCTCACAGGGAACGTCACACCTTCTTTCATCTTCCTGGAGCTGATTGTTGGCTGAGTCCTCACAGGGAACGTCGCACCTTCTTTCATCTTCCTGGAGCTGATTGTTGGCTGAGTCCGCCCCATTTTGGCTATTCTTCTATCCATTCCAATGGTAGTTTTTTTCGCTTTCTTCCACGTCTTTCAGGTTTTGGTTGCCATTTTAAAGCATTTTGCCATCATTTTAGCTGAGCAGCCGATCATTTTCTGCACTTCTTTATATGTTTTTCCCCTCCAATCAACTTTTTAATCAAGGTACGCTGTTCTTCTGAACAATGTCTGGAACGACCATTTTCCTCAGAATTTCAGAGAGAAATGCACTGTAACCAGCATGTCCAACATTTGCTGCCTTTCTTCCTTAAATAAGGGCAATAATTGCCACCTGTTTCAAAGAATGAATGACCTCACTAATAGAACTCCACACTGCTATTATTTTGAACACGCCCCTTTCAATGAGTGATTCAATGACACAGAATCAGCAGCATGCATGTCATGACTGTTGGGTTCTGTTGGATTTCTATGACTCTACTACACCTGCTAGGAAATTATCTGCCATGTAGGAATATCATTTCCACCAAAAACAGGGATTGATCCGGTTAGTGATGTCTGACGGCTAGTATTTTGAACACAACTGTATATGTGTAGCTGGGATTTTCTTTCTTTACTCTCTAAAGGATGAGTTGTTGGCACAGCCCAGCATGTATTCCCACCTGTGAGGGAGAGGTGGACAGTTATCGTACGTCTCTGAAGGTGGTCCTGGAGAAGAAGCTGTCTATCCTGGACAGAGCCATTGAGAGCAATCCTGGCAGTACGGAGCTGAAGCTGGCGCGGTTGGGTCTGTGCGCAGAGTTCTGGGAGGCCCCCGCACTGCTGAAGGAGTGGCAGAAGCTGGTCTTTCTACACCCCAATGACCCGCAGCTGTGGCAGAAATATCTGCTCTTCTCTCAGAGTCATTTCAGCACCTTCTCCATCTCCAAAGTGATCTCCATCTACGGAAAATGCCTCACCACTCTCGCCGCAGTTCAAGATGGCAGCATGCTGTCCCACCTGGCTGTGCCGGGCACCGAGCAATCCATGTGTGGTGAGTACACTTTTTTTTCACAGCGGGCATCCTACAGGACATGTGGAAAACCCGTGTTCTGTGCGTGTTTCCTTCAAAGCATTCAAGCGCTCTGCATTTGCGATCTGAAACGGGTGTCAATGTTAAGTCAATGCACTGGGGGTTATTTACTAAAACCGGAGAGTGCAAAATCTGGTGCAGCTCTGCATAGTAACCAATCAGCTGCAAGGTTTTATTGTCAAAGCTTAACCACTTCCCGTCCAGCCAGTGTATGGACGGTGGCAGTGCAGGGTCGGGTGGCCGTTTATAAACAGCCTCCCCGCACCCTGCTTGTGCGCGTTCCCTGGGAGCGCGCAGCACCGCGATCTGGTGCCCGCTGTGTCCTCCGGATGTCTGATGCCCCCTGTGTCCCGATCATGTGATCGCTGATTGGCCAATCAGCGATCACATGCGGAGTAAAGCGAGATGTCACTTCTGACATCATTGCTTACTACGTGTGAAATCTGTGAATGATCACAGATATCACATGGTACAGGGCTATTCACAACAGCCTTGTACCATGTGACAAGCTGTGACCAATCACAACTCACACAGTAGTTCTCAATGGCTGCAACAATGCAGCCAGAGAGAAGGAGAAATGATTGCTTTTACAGCCTTTTATGGGTGTAAAAAAAAAAAAAGATCATCCCCCACAAGTAGTACAGTGTCACCATGGTGACACTGTACTGCTAGGGTAAGTATGTTAAAAAAAAAACCCATAATAATATAAATAAATGTAAAAAAAATGTTTTAAAAATTTTTAATTTTTGGTTTTATAAACTAATTTGGGTTATTTTTTTTTTTACTAAAAAGATAACTGAATAATTTTATGATGAAATATTATTTATTTGCAAAATTTTATAAGAAAAACAATCGTTTCTTTTTTTTTTTCAAAAATTTTTGGACATTTTCATTTACATAGCAAAAAAAATAAAAATCCCAGTTGTTAATAAATACCACCAAAAATAAAGCTTTATCTGTCTCATAAAAAATGCTAAAAAATTCATATGGGTACAGTGTTGCATGACCGCGCAATTGTCATTCAATTGTGATAGCGCTGAAAGGTGAAAATTGGCCTGGACTGGAAGGGGGTGAAAGTGTCCCGGCCTGGAATGGGGGGGGGGGAATGGAAGGTTGGAGAAAAGTTTGTGTCCGGACTGGAAGGGGGGGGGGGAAAGTGTCCGGGTGGAAGGGGGGGGGACCCCCCCCCCCCGGGGAAAGTGTCCGGACTGCTGAAGGGGGGGGAAGTGGGAGTAGAAAGTGTGTGCTTTGGAGCAGGGGGGGGGGGAAAAAGTGTCCCTAGGGAATGGAAGTCCTATGTGGGAGGGGGGGGAAGGGCTGTCCGGAAGTTAGGAACGAAGGGGGGTCGGGGTAATGAAGATGGGACTGGTGAAGTCTGAAACTTAGAGTTTGTTTTTCAAAATTTGTCCTGGGGTGAGATGGTGGAACCGGGGAATGGAAATGTGGTGGGAGGGCACTGGAAAAGGGGGATGGGGGGGGAATGGAAGGGAATTGGGAAGTTTCCCGAAAGTTGAACCCCTGGACTCATACGTTAGGGGGGGGGGGGGGGGAGGAGAACGTGTGGGGAGGGGGGGGGGGGAGAGTGTCCGGGATCTAGGTTGGGGGGGGGGGGGGGCGATAGGGGAAGTGTGAGCGGAAAAGGAAACCCCCTGGTGGGAAGACTGGACTGGAAGGGGGGGGGGAGAAGTGAATGGTTAGTCTCCTGGACTGAGGATGTTTGGGGGGGGGGGGGGGTGGGGACAATAGTAGGAAGTCACGCTAGGGGGTGAAGTGGTGAGGTGGACGATCTGAATGAAAAAAGGGGGGGGGGGCGGGATCGAAAGTTGGGGTTGTTCCCCCCCGTTAGCCTGGGAAGGGTAAAGGGGGGGGGTCTGGTGGTTCCGGCGGGGTGGGACTGAAAGGGTTTTGGGGGGGGGAACGTGGTGTGGTTCGAGAAAATTTTATGGCCTGTGGAGGGGGGGATACCGGAAAGCATTTTGGGAGGGGAAATATTAAAAAGTGTGGGGGGGGAGGGGGATGGAAGGGGGGGGGGGGAAAGTGTCCGGACCTGGGAAGGGGGGGGGAAGGTTGTGTACCCAGGACTGTTCCAGTGGGGGGAAAGCGTCCGGACTGGAAGGGGGGGGGGGGGGGGGAAGCTGTCCGGACTGGAAGGGGGGGGGGGGAAAGTGTCCGGACTGGAAGGGGGGGTGAGAAAAAAAGTGTCCGGGACTGGAAGGGGGGGGGGGGGAGGGGGAGAAAGTGTCCGGACTGGGGGGGGGGGGGGGGGGGAAAAGTTGTCCCGGACTGGAAGGGGGGGGGGGAAAGTGTCCGGACTGGAAGGGGGGGGGGGAAAGTGTCCGGACTGGATGGGGGGGGGGGGGGGTGAAAGTGTCCGGACTGGAAGGGGGTGGGTGAAAGTGTCCGGACTGGAAGGGGGGGGAAAGTGTCCGGACTGGAAGGGGGGGGGGGACTGGAAGTGTCCGGACTGGAAGGGGGGGGGGAAAGTGTCCGGACTGGAAGTGGAAGGGGGGGAAAGGTCCGGACTGGAAGGGGGGGGGGACATGGAAGGGGGGAAAGTGTCCGGACTGGAAGGGGGGGGGGGGGGGAAAGCAGTGTCCGGACTGGAAGGGGGGGGGAAAGTGTCCGGACTGGAAGACGGGGGGGGGAAAGTGTCCGGACTGGAAGGGGGGGGAAAGCGTCCGGACTGGAAGGGGGGGGGGGAAAGTGTCCGGACCTGGAAGGGGGAGGGGGGGAAGCGTCCCGGACTGGGAAGGGGGGGGGGGGAAAGAAAGTGTCCGGACTGGAAGGGGGGGGGGGAAAGTGTACCGGACTGGAAGGGGAAAAAAAAAAGTGTCCGGACTGGAAGGGGGGGGAAAGTGTCCGGACTGGAAAGGGGGGGGGGGGGAAAGTGTCCGGACTGGAAGGGGGGGAAAGCGTCCGGGGAAGGGGGGGAAGTGTCCGGACTGGAAGGGGGGGGGGGGAAAGTGTCCGGTACTGGAAGGGGGGGGGAAAAGTGTCCGGACTGGAAGGGAGGGGGGAAAGTGTCCGGACTGGAAGGGGGGATAAAGTGTCCGGACTGGAAGGGGCGGGGGGAAAGTGCCCCCGGACTGGAAGGGGGGAAAGTGTCCGGACTTGAAGGGGAGGTTTAGTGTACCGGAAAGTGTGAACTGGAAGGGGGGGAAAAGTGTCGGATCTGGAAGGGGGGGAAAGTGTTCCCCTGCGGAAGGGGGGTACAACAGCGTCCCGTGACTGGAAAGTTGGTGGGAGGCACGTGAGCGTACTTGGAAGGTAATTTTGGGAAATAGACGGGAGGAAGCTAGGTACCAGGAGGGGGGGAAACGTCCTGGGAAGGCGGACTTTAAAGTATAAGGAAAAGCGTTTTTTGGAAGTACTGCATTTTCGGGGGGGAAGCGTTCCGGATTGGAAGGGGGGGATGGACTCTCCCGTCACTGGAATATTGACCAACGTCCTATTTACTGGAAGGGGCATCAATTGGAGTGCGTAAACCCATGGAAGGGGCTCACTGTTCGTCCGGGGACTTGAAGTGGTTTATGCGAACAAGCTCCGCAAAATTGTTAAAAAATTAACTTTTCATGACATTTTGAGAGGAATAGAGTCTTAGACAGAAGCAGACGATCTGCAGTTATGTGTCTTGATGACTCCCGGTTTTTCTGGTGCAGTTTTGTATGGATTGCCATCATATATGCGGCGCGTTTTCAAGACATTGTTTCCTTCATGTAGCAAAACCTGGAACTGTCTGCGTGGTTGCGGGCTGAATTGAGTACATGGGAAACATTCAATTTTGCAATGCATATCTTTGATGGGAAAAGACCTCGGTGACGAGCATTTGGACATGAACAGTTTAAAAAACGTTTTCTATCACTTTTCTTTTATGTCCTCACACTAAAAGGGTTTGGTGTTTGATTGACGCAATAAAATTACCTGAAACGTCAAGTTTTCTGCGGTCAAAAAACGACTGTAGATACTCGTTGTCCGTAAATGAAGATGTGTACAAGGACTCATATGGGGAAAATTAGGGGGGAGTTCAGGGGGCTGCTGATAAAAAACGGGGTGAATGACTCCAGCTCGCTGGATGTCAGTTGTGTCAGTTGCAGTGTTAACGGGGGCCCTTAAAAACGCACATACAATGTGCCAGCGCTCAAGGTACGTTCTGTGCTCGGCATTCGTTGTGCTACAGATTTCAGTGGTCACACTGCTGCCATCTTAGGGAACTATCTGAGAGTATGAATATAAGAATTTCTTACATTTGCATTTTCAGTGTCAAAGCCGGAGGACATGGATGCTGTGATTTCTGACTGTTAGTTTATAAACAGTTGGCTCATATTATTTTTGGAATCACGGGGGACCTTTTGAGTGTCTTCTGGGTTTTCTTGGGTTAATATGTGCCCCGGATTTAGTTCTTACACAAAAGGTGAAGCAGAATTAATCCCAGATATGTACAGAAGTCTATGTATAATCCCTGGACTGGATTCCTGTTGCCGGTGGGCTGGGAGTTGATCTTTTTTTCTTTCTGAACTGTGCGGGTTGAGTCTGGTGTAAATCAGTGGGAAGACGTTCTGACTACGCCCAGATTATCGTTTAGTACACGACGGGTGGGTCACTGCGGTTGGAGAATGGTCCCGCTCGCTTGTAATGTGTGTTTATGTTGCTGTCCTCAGTATTTGCTCGTGCAAGAAAGGATACCCCGAACCGATTTGGGTATTTTCAGTGGCAAACGGTTCACAATACCCTGCCATTGTCACCCATCTTTGGTGTCAGTGTGGAGGAATTTTGGGCGGGGAGTGGAAATATCCTGATTTGGAGGAGGTGAGTGGTATTGAGCGGAATAAGTGCCCAGATATGTTGGTGTCAGTGAGCGGAATAGTTTGCTGATTGGGTTGGTGTCTAGTGGGAGGAATAGTGCCCCATCATTGGTAATCAGTGGGAGGAATGTAGTGCCCCGTGTCATTGGTATCAGTGGGAGGAATAGTGCCCCATCATTGGTGTCAGGTGGGAGGAATAGTGCCTGATTTTGGGTGTCATGTGGAGGAATAGTTGCCCATTGTTGGTGTCTGTGTGGGAGGAATAGAGCCTCCATTGTTGGTGTCAGTGGGAGAATTCGTGCCCCATCATTGGTGTCAGTGGGAGGAATAGTGCCCCATATCATTGGTGTCAGTGGCGAGGAATAGTGCCATCATTGTGGTGTCATGGGAGGAATAGTGCACGCCATCCTTTGGTGTCAGTGAGAGGAATAGTGCCTGATTGTTGGTGTCAGTGGGAGGATAGTGCTGCCATTGTTGGTGTCAGTGGAGTGAATAGTGCCCCATCATTTGGTTGTCAGTGGGAGGAATATGTGGCACCATCATTGGTGTCAGTGGGAGGAATAGTTGCCCATCATTGGTGTCAGTGGGAGGAATTGTGCCCATCATTGGTGTCAGTGGGAGGAATAGTGCCCATCATTGGTGTCAGTGGGAGGAATAGTTGCCCATCATTGGTATCAGTGGTGTCAGTGGAGGAATAGTGCCCCATCATTGGTGTTCAGTGGGAGGAATAGTGCCCCATCATTGGTATGCAGTGGGAGGAATAGTGCCCCTTCATTGGTTGTCAGTGGGAGAGGAATAGTGCCCCCATCATTGGTGTCAGTGGGAGGATTAGTGCCCATCATGGTGTCAGTGGGAGGAATTAGTGCCCATCATTGGTGTCAGTGGGAGGAATAGTGCCCCATCATTGGTGTCCAGTGGGAGGAATAGTGTCCCATCATTGGTTGTCAGTGGGAGGAAATAGTGCCCCCATTGGTTTGGTGTCAGTGGGAGGAATGCCCCCCCATCGCCCCTTTCATTGGTGTCAGTGGGCGGAATAGTGTCCCATCATTGGTGTCAGTGGGATGGAATAGTTGCCGATTGTTTGTGTGTCAGTGGCCAGAAATAAGGTCCACATTGGCCGGATAAAGGACAAGCAAAGGGCCACCGGTTTGGATCACTTTCACTTGGGCGTCCTCCGCAACAGGTAATGAGGTGGAGCCTAACAGTCCTGATGGTCAGGAAGTGGGAGGAAATAGTTTATGCACCAATTTGTCTAGATGAGTGGAATGTCAGTCTGAGGCAGTG